TATATCAGTTTTGGGCATCTGACAAGAGCAGGTCACCAGCAGCCTCATATATGCAAAAGCTGGGGAAAAGTAGGCCAAATCTATCAAGCCGTCAAGATAAAATGTTAGTGCTGTAGACACCAGAAGCAGGAAGGAAGACAAATGCCATGGCTTGCTGCTGAGATTGGCCCAAGACCCTGGGAAAATGCTGTAACTAGAGGGCTGTCTCTCCGAAGATGGCCATCAGCAGCCCTGGTAGCAGCCTGTAGTCGGGTGATGCTGTGGACCCCAGTGGGCTGTGCAATCATCAGTTCTTTCCTCTGCTGCGGTTTTTGTCGCGGAGTGTGACGTACGACGTGACGTATCTGTCGCTTCGGTCGGCTCTCCTGGCTCTCGCCGCCCGGCCCCCCGTGCGCCCAGCGCGCTCGCTGGGACGCGGAGACGGGGAGCGCCTGGGGGCTGCGGGGGGGGGCCCGGACGGCAAAAATACTCCCGTCCCCGTATGCGCCGCCACTGCGGAGCGGCCACCGCGCAGGCAGCTCGGAAAAAATTAACTCTGTCCCCGCCAGAGCCGGCACGGCTGGGAGAGCCCTGCCGGGAGCGCGGGGAGCGGTGCTGCGCGCTCTTGGGAGCCCCGTCCGTGAGACCGCAGCCCCACGCTCCCAGTCAGAGGGGTGACAAAGAGAAGGAGCTTTTCCTTTGGGAAGGGATAAATGTGCTGAAACAAGTCATGGCGGTGGATGAAATAATGGCTTCTACTTTTTAAAAATTTTTAAGTGGAGAGTTCTCCACCAGAAGCGAAAATAGCACCTGGTTCGTGCAGGCACATGGCAGGTCTGTGTTCTGGTGGAGTCGCGTGGTTTGCAGGTGAGGATCTGCTCTTGAGTTTCAAACTCAGCGTAGTGGTTGTTGTGGTGCAGTAAGTCATATCCTGTGGAAAACTGACTTTGTGTGATCTTTACTTAGTAACTATGTTGAACATAAATTAATAAATAGGCAACTCAGTTTCTGGTTATGACATAATTATGCTTCAATTTTATATTTGGAACTTGATAGAAAACAGGAATTTAGGAATATTTGTTAATTTATGGATTTTTTTTTCTTTAAACTTTCTGTGGGATCATGTTACGTGTTACTTTTAGATCTTATTTATCTCCTTAAAACTATTGGATGTAGACTCGATTTCAAGTTTCTTTTTCAATTTTTCAGAGACGGGTGTATAGAACAACAACACATGTACCACAAGAATTAGGACAGATCATGGATTCAGAAACATTTGAAAAATCTCGTCTGTATCAGCTGGACAAAAGTACTTTCAGCTTTTGGTCAGGCCTGTACTCAGAGGTGGAGGGCACTGTAAGTACCTGAGCTGCTCTCGCGTTCGATGACACTTTGCATGGACTTAAACTGTGAAATACGTTGGCTCTTAGTGACCCTGTGCAGCTGCACTGTTGGCATTCTGGCGTCTTGTGTCAAACACTGAAATTTGGAAGGCCTGAGATTCTGTGTTTCTGGTTTGTGGCTGTATTTGCCATATAAAAGGAAGGAATTACTCAGCACATAATTTAGGCAGTGCTGAGTCATACTGCACAACTACAATCCATGTTATGTTATCATGTTTTAGGGGCACAGCTGACTTATGGTTTCCACTGCCAAATAATTCAGCAACATTAGAATTATTTTAAATCGTTACAATAAATACAGACCTTTTCCTGTGTTTGGAGGGATGCAATGACTTCATTTTTACATAAAATTTAAGAAGAATGTAGAAAGAAGAGCCTTTGAGAACAGGAAGAGTACCAGTGGATACCTTTTAAGTGTAAGAACAGTTACACTAAGTGAGTAATGTTCCTGTGTATGAAAATACAGAGCTATTGAGTTAAAACAAAGGATTTACATGTGTGATACACAAACAGGCGTAAGAGAAACGTTTTCTGACTTACTGCTGAAATGCACTGCTCATCAGTAGCACAGCTGGATCAAAAAGGAATCCTGAAATGCATGGCCTTGCAAAACTTAATTAGACTATGATCTACTACCGGATGAACTTAAGGAAATGAAAAAGTCAATTATAAAAGATAATGAAAATAGTATTTTAAATTAGTGTAAGTCATGTAACTGTGTAACTGTGATGCGAAACCAGTACTTAAGAGTTGTGGCCCCTCTTGACTTTTGCGTTTCCTGGTCTCTTTTGTGCAGCCTAACCTGTGCAATGTTCCGTTTTGTATGAACTTGTGAAAATGTTGTTATGTATGTGTCAGTATAGCTGTTATGTTCTTGTTGGGCTTTTCGGTACACTGAGTAGAACTCCAGGCATTTTTGGGGTGAATTTGAAAAGCTGTGGTTTTGACCTACTTCAGAGGCAGTATTTCATTCGGAAAATGAAGCTATGGTCCGACAGTGGATTAGTGGAATGAGTGAGATGCTATGACCTAGCAGGTGCAACAAGTCATAAGGTTCTCAAACTTTATCTTGGTTTCAAGAGCTTTAGCCAAAACAGCTTCCTTTGTTGTTTTTAAGGAAAATATACGATTGAAATGAGCCTCTTTTGCCAATGAATCTAGTGCCCTGCTAAATCAAGAGCTGTATCAGCAGCCTGTGCTTATCTTCTCCCAGGCCTGCTATTGTTATGGTCCGCCACAACGTTCTAGCCACTAAATTGGACAGGCACAGGTTTGACAAATGGACTGTTAGATGGATAATGAACTGACTGGATGGCTGCATCCAAAGAGTTACAGTCAGTGGCTCAACATCTGAGTGGAAACCAGTGGTGTCCCTCATATTTGTCCAAGTATGGACCCTTTATTTAATATCTTCATCATTAAGTGGGACTGAGCGCACCCTTGGCAAGTTTGCAGGTGACACCAAGCTCAGTGGTGCAGTTGATGCGCAAGAGGGAAGGGATGCCATTCAGGGTGACCTTGACAGGGTTGAGAAGTGGGCCTGTGCACACCTCATGAAATTCAACAAGGCCAAGTGCAAGGTCCTGCACCTGGGCTGGGGCAATCCCCAGTTTCAGTACAGACTGGGGATGAATTGATTGAGAGCAGCTCTGCAGAGAAGGACTTAAGGGTACTGGTGGACAAAAAGTTGGATATGAGCTGGCAATGCGTGCTCACAGCCCAGCTGTATCCTGGGCTGCATCCAAAGCAGCGTGGGCAGCAGGGCGAGGGAGGGGATTCTGCCCCTCTGCTCTGCTCTCCTGAGACCCCCCTGCAGTGCTGCGTCCAGCTCTGTTGTTTCCAGTGCAAGAAAGATATGGACCTGTCAAAGCAGATCCAGAGGAGGGCCACAAAAATGGCTGTAGGGCTGGAACACCTCTCCTATGGAGAAAAACTGAGAAAGTTGGCGTTGTTCAGCCTGGAGAAGAAATGGCTTAATGTGGCCTTTCAATACTTAAAGGAGACTTACAAAAAAGATGGAGAGAGACTGTTTACCAAGGCCTGTAATGACAGGACAAGGGGCGATGGTTTCACACTGAAAGAGGGGAGGTTTAGATTGGACATAAGGAAAAAATTTTTTATGATAAGGGTGGTGAGACACTGGGACAGGTTGCCCAGAGAAGTTGTGGATGCTTCATCCCTGGAAGTGTTCAAGGCCAGGTTGGGTGGGGTTTTGAGCAATTTGATGTAGTGAAAGATGTCTCTGCCCGTGGGAGAGGGCTCGGACCAGATGACCTTTAAAGGTCCCTTCTGACCCAAACCATTCAGTGATTCTGTGGTTGTGCCTGCGTGGGAAAAGCACAGCCTCTGTCTCTCATGACCTTTTCTTTCTATTCTGTCCTTGTTACTGTAGTAACAGTTCCACAATGATTTTGGCAGCTGATAGATCTGTTAGAAAAATTACTGCATCCAGCTGTCTTCCACAACTGAGCCACAAAACCCAGACTCTCCTGGTGCTTCCTAAGCAGCAGTCAAAACCAGTCAAAGCATCTTAGCTTATATGTTGTTCTGCTGTTTCAGCCGTGATTGTGATAAACAGCTGGGAAACAGTTGTGTCTCCAACTGCTGCTGCTGGTTCTTAATTGGTTGCAGTGACACTGATGAACAAAAGCCAAGTTAATAAACATGGAATAAGTGAGTTAGAGCTCCCAGCTAATTAATTGAGCACTGGCCTGAGTAAAGAGGTCTCAGCAGTCAGCTGAGATTCTATACGCCCATATTTTGCTAGTATTGTCAGTGGTTTTCATCTTCTGAACATGAAGTTAGTGTTCCTACTTGGGCTTGATGGGTTGTGGTCTTGGGATTCTCTATCCCAGAACTTCTTGAGTTTGAGATTCAGAGTGAGCTGTCCCAAGAGGATTGCTAGTGGGCCTGCAAGCTATTAGATATCCAAGCTTTGCCTGCATTCACAGATTTGCTACAGAGGTTGCAGAGCTTTGTGGAAACAAGGTAAGGCTTCCAAGTCCAGTGGCTCCTACATCTCGTTTCTTCATTATGGCTCCTTTAATATAAGTATTATTTAGCTAGAGCTGAGTAATCTACAACCATATAGTATCCCTAATGTCCAGTCAACCCTGCAGCAGGGTTTCTTCATCCAGTTCTGTAGATCATTTTACATGACTTCTCTTGGTGCTGGGCGTTGACTGGCCACTTCCTTCTTTGCAGTATTGCCATGGGCATCTCAAAGGCTGCCATTTGTAGAGTTTCCGTAATGAGTTTTGTGTTAAAGCCACAAAATTTGTGTTTGTGGTTGAACACTCAGATCCCATTCGGAATGATGTAGGGGAAGTATATCATAGCTTTGGCAGATCTCCACAGCTAGTCCTCTCTGCTGCCCTGGTGTTTAGAATTCCTGTCCTTTAAAATTATGTTGCTGGTTAAGACACTTCTTATCTTCCCTTCTTCCTAGGAAAGCACACCCTCAGATTTCTCTGATTATTTTATTCCTGCAAAGAGAAAATTACACTTGAATGGAAATCCCACCCCCACCACCCCCAAATCCATTGTCATCCCAGGATAAGTGGTTTTCTTGGAAAACTGAGAGTTGGAAAACATCCTTATGGTACCTTTTTTTGTGGTATGTTTTAAAGATCAGAAGAAAAAGATCTAGGTAATAGCCCTTTACCAAGTGCACTAACTGGTCTAAAAAAATAGACAGTCTTGGAGACATATAAAGCTGCTCCTGCTCAGTAATGTCACTGTACACTGAAAAAAAATACAAGCGTGGAATAAAGTTCAGATCTGAATTAGGTAGCAGCTGGACTGCTTTGAGTGGTAGTCATTCCCTTTTGAGCAGTCCAAACGGTAGAGATAGAGAACTAGTGTGATTATCTCTTGACACAATAGCTTGTGAAACATTGAGAACTCCTAGCTGTGTGCCATGGACTTGGCAGAGACGCTGAGTATCCAGCTCACTCTGACCTTTCGTCTGCGCTACCAACACCTCCAGACTTGATACACGTCTCAGATATTTGAAGACTTGTTCTCAGTGGTACTGAAGTCTGCTGGTTTCATGTCAGAGTGGAAGAAGAGCTTGTGTTTCCAAAAAAACCTGCCTGCTTGTTCCACTTACTGCGATCAACCCAACAAAAAAAAGACAAACTGTACAAACCGTGTCCTGCATGCCCTTACGCTGTCGTGGCTGCGGCGTTTTCCCTAATGAGGAGAATACCTCCAGTCTGGTGGCTGCAGCAGTGGTGTGGTTGTAACTAAGGCCGTTATTTCTCATTAGATTTCAGACAGCTTTTGCATACATTTCTCATTCCCGAGGCAAATTGTATGAGTCCAAGTGCCGGGTCCTGCTCTGGGGTCACAACAACCCCAGAAAACGCTACAGGCTTAGGGAAGAGCGAAAGCTGCCTGGTGGAAAAGGAGCTGGGGGTGTTGGTTGACAGTTGCCTAAGTATGAGCCAGCAGTGTGCCCAGGTGGCCAAGAAGGCCAATAGCATCCTGGCTTGTATCAGCAATAGTGTGACCAGCAGGACCAGGGCAGTGATGGTCCCCCTGTACTGGGCACTGGTGAGGCTGCACCTCAAATACTGTGTTGAGTTTTGGGCCCCTCACTACAAGACAGACATTGAGGTGCTGGAGCGTGTCCAGAGAAGGGCAACGGAGCTGGTGAAGGGTCTGGAGCACAAGTGTTACGAGGAGCAGCTGAGGGAACTGGGGCTGCTCAGCCTGGAGAAAAGGAGGCTGAGGGGAGACCTTCTCACTCTCTACAACTACCTGAAAGGAGGTTGTAGTGAGGTGGGGGTCGGTCTCTTCTCCCAAGTAATGAATGATAGGACAAGAGGAAATTACTCAAGTTGTGCCAGGAGAGATTTAGATTGCATATTAGGAAAAATTTCTTCACTGAAAGAGTTGTCAAGCATTGGAACAGGCTGCCCAGGGAAGTGGTTGAGTCATCATCCCTGAATGTGTTTAAAAGACATGTTGGTGTGGTGTTTAGGGAAATGGTTTATTGGTGGACTTGGCAGTGTTAGGTTAGACTTGGTGGTCTTAAGGGTCTTTTCCAAACTAAATGGTTCTACGATTCTATTCTACAACCAAGCTGTACCCCAGATGTGCAGGGTACATGCAGCTGCTTCTCTGCATGTATGTGATGATGAGTTATTGCTGCTTTCTGTGATGTTCAGCTGTGTCTTTCTGTTTGTCAGAATCTGTCCTGGGATTATCAGATTCCAGCAGAGTTAAAAGTGAGGTGGCCTCTACTGTCTGGGTCTGCCACTTCCTTAGAGCATAAACTGCATCCTTCATTGGCTTTGGGAACTGCCTGAACTTGAAAGAGCCTGTCGTGGCCAAAGTTGATGAAATTGGGTGACAGTTTCACAACATTTTGCTTTTAGTAGGTAAAAGTATGATTCATTAACTGTCAAGTTAATTGAAGGGAAGAAGCTGTGTCAGGATTACTAGTGTGCTTTGATATATTTCAGCCATTAATTCTGTGGATTTCTTTTTAACTAATAAGTAGCATGAACACCATCTGTCTTAGTTCCGGGACTGGTAGTTCTGGGATTTCCAGCTCTGAAACTTACAGGTAGCCTGCAAAGGAGAACCAGGTTTTCTTTGGTCCTTTCCGTCTTTTGCTGACACTGAAAATGCACCTGAAGAGTTAGATTCTAGAGTAAGCCTCTTAAAAATACATAAGGAAGTAAAAGAACTGGTAGTGTCCATACTGGAAGGCTGCCTACTTGGAAACTGATCTTTATATATGTAGTGATGCATCACTTGCTTAGAAAGTCAGTATGAGACATTTAAATGTGAAACATTTGGAGGTCAAGCTGTTTAACAAAAACTACCACCCCTGCCTGGAACTAAGTCAGCGCTTGCTTCCGGAGCCCTGTCTCCAGTGTTCCTTGATGATGATGTGTCCCGAGCAGTCCACTCCCTGTTCCTTGGCAGCGTGGATGGCAGGAGGCATTGCTGGCAGGCACCAGGGGGAGAGCATGAAGCTTTCTTAAAATGCTTGAAGCAGTGCTAATACTGAAAGTGAAATTACAGCCTTGTTCCGAGTGCCGTTCCCTGGGTAGGGAATGCAGTAGGGAATGCGGGTTCTGAAGAATGTACCTTATGTCTGAGCCAATATAGCAGCAAAGTCTACAGTAAATAGGCTTGGGAGTATGCTAGTGTTTCCCAGCAGGGGAAAAAAAAAAGCACCTGATCTGATCTCTACTTCTGTAAAGCAAAAACTAACTATTGCCAGATGTTCCAGGCTTCCTTTAGGCATGGCTAAGATCAGAGGGGAGCAAAAATCCTAATTATAAAACTTTTCTGATTCACCCTTAAAAGGTCCTTATGCTGAAATTTTAGTAGAATAAGAGGAAAACCTGTTTCATGTTGCCTCTGTGGTATGTGGTTTTGTTTTCAAGATGATTCTCCTCTGTGGAGGAATTCCTTTTCTCTGGAATCTGTCTGGTCAGATCTCTGGTCGTGCTGGGTTTGGACCAGAATATGAGGTAAGCAGGCTTTAAATTTTACTGAAAACGTTTGGTCCATGAACTGTACTGTTATAATAATGTTTATTTTTAAGCTTACATTTACTTCAAGTGGGATTTCGCTACAGGTACAATATAGTAAAAATAACAGATATTTTGTCTGAGTCTGAAAACTGGTAACAGTATGTGACTTTTAAATTAACTTACTAATTGAACTAGCCTTATATGTTAAAAACATACAAGTCTCAAAGTTCCTTGAGTCAAACGAGGTGCTGAGTTGGGTTTTTGGGGGCTTCTTCTTTGGGATCTTTACTAATAATCCTATCTGTGATCTTCCTTTGTTCCTGTACAGTAAAAGGGTAAAAAATTTCAGGCTACTGCTTGTGTTGTCTTTGTTGTGGATGAGGTATCTATCCAAATTCTTGTCCCACGTCCTTATTTTTTTTAAAAATCTGTTTCCTCAGTATATTTTTTTTAAATTTCTTTAACATAATAAGCTACTCCGGTGATCAGTAATCTAATCATCACAAACATTTTATTTCTGTGAATTTATCTAGCTTCATCTTCTAACCAGTTTCAGTTAAACCACTGACATAAAATAGGTTTTTAACACTCAGAATATTAATGTTAGTATAGATCAGTAAATATCACTTTTTTTTTTTTTAGATTGTTCAGTCATTGGTATTTCTGCTGCTTGCTACACTCTTCAGTGCAGTGACCGGCCTCCCGTGGAGTTTATATAACACGTTTGTCATAGAAGAGAAGCACGGCTTCAATCAGCAGGTACCGCTCACGGCGCTGACACTGACCCCGCGTCTTCAGCAGCTTTGGCTGGGCCGATGGCTGCTGTGTCCATACCTCTGCCAAAGATCCTTCGTTTTAGCAACATTTCTACTCTCGCTGCCTAGAAATAAGAAAATAAGAGTAATGACACTTTGTGGCTGTTGCAGAAGTACCCATGCTGCACCAGGATGTCTCTGCTTGAGCCCATGCTCTGAGCAGAGAGAGGTGTGTGTTCTAGCAGGGGAACAAAGAACGTTTCATCCCTCAGCTGTTCATTTTTGGATGGACTGTTCTTTGCCCTTCATATGCCCTTCCTGAGAACTTTGGATCACTGTGTGGCAGGGGCAGTTCTGATTCATGGACACAACAGATGAAACAAAACAGAGAAATTTCTTTCCTCCTCATTTTGTTTCACTTATTGATTTCCTTTATCAGTCTTTACTAAATTAGATAATTCAGCTCTTCATTTGTGCTTGCGTTAGGTACTCATTTAATATGAGCCCTGACTTTCTTCATTTCTCTCACCAACCTGTTGTGATGTTCCTTTTGGGACAGGAACTTCAATCTGGGACACAGCATTAGCCATTTCATGTCAGAGCATAAGTCTTGTTTTCTGCTTTTGGACCCAGTTAGTGTTGTCTACAGTACATTCTGTTCCAAGTCTTTTTTTACAGTAGAATGAAATTTGGATGAGTAGCAGATGTGAGATAAAGCTGTTTGGCTCATTTTAATAAGGGTAGAGATGCTCTGGCATTTGTTAGTTTCATCTTCCAGTTTTTATGGAGGCAGGAAGACTGAGCCAGACCATGTTCTTATTTAGATCTGTTTCACCAGTATTTGTTTTCTTTCTGGACGAGTTCCATATCTTTAGTACAGTGTGGGCTTTTTAATACAACTTGGTTGAGAAGGATCTTTGCATAACAACGCCCTCAGTTCTGTGCCTTGCAGACAGCTGAAAGTGCTGAAGTGACAATTCCCGGGAGAGCTAGCTGGGTGTCTAATCCATCCTAGTTGCAGAGCCACTAGGTCAGATTCATTGCAGTAGAGATCTTTGAAATTTCTATTGCTTCTATTAAAGTTATGCTAATTTTAAAACCTGAGACAGCTACATGAGTAGTAACTGCATGTCAATAGAAGATTGGAGTAAAATGCCCAGTATACATCTAAAAATCTTTAATAGAACTTTTATATATTTCCAGTTAAGACAACCAGCTTGGTGGTAGCTGAAAGTTAAGATGAATGGAGGCAACTGTTCAAAGACAAAATATCTTACAGTAGCTGTATATCTTAACAGTTTCCTATTCTTTAAAAATCCCATAATGTCTAGAAAATAGAATGATAAAGGAATTCAGGGACAAATAAGCTTAAATTTTTCTTTCCTCCTTTAATGAAGGATATACGTGCAACACAAATTGAGGGTTTGGGTCAGGTCTTGGTAAAGAAGAGTGCATCTGCATGGGCTTGGAGTCTGTGTGGCTGTAAAGAGCCACAGCTGCCAGGAAAGGAGGTGGAGAGGTTCTTCTGCCTTTCCTTAACTGACTCTGATTTCCGTATCACATTGGTGTTGCTGTTTTGCAGTTTGTCTTGGTTTATTTCTGTGCACCCCCTGAAGGGATCAGTTCATTAACCATTGTGGCACATCAATATTGATTGGAATATTGGAAACATCACCGATATCCTTTCTTTACAGACACTGGGATTTTTTTTTAAGGATGCTATCAAGAAGTTTATCGTGACTCAGTGTATTCTGTTGCCAGTGACATCCCTTCTGCTTTACATTATTAAAATAGGGGGAGACTACTTCTTCATCTATGCCTGGCTCTTCACATTGGTTGTTTCCTTGGTGAGTATAAGAATATGCTGTGTTTTTTTCCAAGTGCTAGCTTACTTGCGTGGCTCAGTGTGCTGAGGTTTAAAAATATGGAAATGGAGAAAAATCTAAATCTCCTGGGAATCGTAGTGTCTACAAACTTCAACAGCATGTCTTGCTCTCAGTGTACTTGTTCAGGAAGACAGTAGAGCGCTATATTGAAATAGACAATACAAAATACAGACCTCGGAGCTTATAGTAACAGTAGAAAACATCATATTCTTATGATGTATGCAGAAAGATCCTTTTAATATAAGCCCTAAAAATGTCAGTGACCAACTCAGTGTATAAAAGCAGCTGTACCAGCAGAACCAGAAATGGAAAATTGCCACTTGTCTCAATACAAAGCAATGCAGTTGAGAACTGGTGTTTGATAAAAGCCCAGTGGAAATATTACTGACCAAGGCACGTTCTGCCTTGCCAAACTGCTGGCAGTTGTCCTTGTGCCCTTTCTGTATCTAAGAAAAAGGAACACCTATCACCACATAGTGCTGTATTTCCAGTATCTATTCCAAAGCTTTTTGAATGTTTATTTTTCAACTGATGAAGTCACTCCAGTATTAAGTGGATAAAATACAAGATTTCACATTAGTTAAGCTCTGAGGTCTGTATTTTGTATTTTCTATTTCAATATAGTGCTCTGCTGTCTTTTTGTTCAATACGGTAACCATTGCTCACCCAAGGAAGAAATTACAGAAGTACTGTTGTATATATTGACTCATTTTTACATGAAAAGAGCACCTTAACAAGTAAAAGAATTATTACCTGACTAATGTAATAAAGCCTGCCACATTAGCCTAACAGTAAATTTGGGTCAGTCAATCCTTAATTCTCATGTCAGGTTCAGACTTTCTGGTTTGACTGGAGTGAATCATCAAGAAAATTTTTAGGAATACCTGGGTAGGAAATCATGATTGTTTTCTTTCTTAGGCTTCTCTTTCATGACTTAAGTGTTGCTTTTTTCACACTTCACACAGCACTCTGCTTTATCACGTGTTTTTTCTGAAATTGTGCCCTCTTTTTGTACTTGCTCATGATCCACGTTTAGTACTAAACACAGTATGCCTTGTTTTTAATATCTGTATGTGTTTGCAGGTGCTTGTTACAATCTATGCAGACTATATTGCACCTTTGTTTGATAAATTCATTCCACTTCCTGAGGGAGAGCTCAAGCAACAAATCGAAACAATGGCAAAGAGCATTGACTTCCCACTGACTAAGGTGTATGTTGTTGAAGGTGAGATTTTTTTTTTTTTAATAAAGACTGTAATTTTGAATTTGTGGATTTTTAGCTTTGATGTGGATGCAGTAGCATCCACAGTTGCTTATGTTCATAGATTTCATAGATTTCTAGGTTGGAAAAGACCTTAGAGATCATCCAGTCCAACTGTCCCTAATCCCCATTAAACCATATCCCTAAGTACATCATCCACCCTTTTCTTAAACACATCCAGGGATGGGGACTCAACCACCTCCCTGGGCA